TGCGCCAGTGGATGTTCCGCATCACCGCCTACGCCGAGCGGCTGCTCAACGCGCTGGACGGCGTGGACTGGCCCACCTCGACCAAGCAGATGCAGACGGAGTGGATCGGCAAGAGCCGCGGCGCGGAGATCGATTTCCCGCTCGACGCCCAGGACGGTTGGGCGGACGCCTTCGTCGACGACGACGGCGCGCCCGGCGCGATCCGCGTCTTCACGACGCGCCCGGACACGATCTTCGGCGCGACCTTCATGGTCCTCGCGCCGGAGCACCCGATCGTCAGCGCGGCCATCGCCTCGCCCCTGCCCGGCGCGGACGCGGGCAAGCTCCGTGATTACGTCGAGGCGGCGCGCCACAAGGCGGACGTCGAGCGCCAGGAGAGCAAGGAGAAGACCGGCGTCTTCACCGGCCTCTACGCCATCAACCCCGCGAACAACGAGAAGATCCCCGTCTGGTGCGCGGACTACGTCCTCATGAGCTACGGCCACGGCGCGATCATGGCCGTGCCGGGCCAGGACGACCGCGACTGGGAATTCGCCGAGGCATTCGGCCTGCCCATCGTGCGCACCGTTGAGCCGCCGAAGGACTTCGACGGCAAGGCGTACACCGGCGAAGGGCCGGCCACCAACTCCGGCTTCCTCGACGGCCTGTCGATCAGGGACGCGAAGGCGAAGGCGATCGAGTGGCTCGAGCAAGAGAACATCGGCTCGGCGCGCACGAACTACCGCCTGCGCGACTGGCTGTTCTCCCGCCAGCGGTACTGGGGCGAGCCGTTCCCGCTCGTCTTCGATGAGAAGGGGAACCACCACCCCGTCGGCGAATCGGCGCTGCCCGTCACCCTCCCGCCCATGGCGGACTACCAGCCGGTGGAGTCGGACGACCCCAAACCCCTGCTCGCCAAGGCGACGGACTGGGTGAACACCACCGCCGGCGAGGCGGGCGTCGACCCGGACGTCCTGCCCCCCGACACCCCCGTGACGCGCGAGACGAACACGATGCCGGGCTGGGCCGGATCGTGCTGGTACTACCTGCGCTACGCCGACCCGAAGAACGCCGAGCGCTTCGTCGGCGAGGACGCGGAGCGATACTGGATGGGCGAGAACGGCGTGGACCTGTACATCGGCGGCGCGGAGCACGCGGTGCTCCACCTGCTCTACGCGCGGTTCTGGCACAAGGTGCTCTACGACCTGGGCGAGGTGAGCTCCCCCGAGCCCTTCCGCAAACTCTTCCACCAGGGGCTGATCACCTCATTCGCGTACCAGCGCGCCGACCGGTCGCTCGTGCCGGTCGACGAAGTGACCGTCGACGACGACGGTGCCGCGACCGAGACCGCGACGGGCGAAAAAGTTGCGCAGATCACCGCCAAGATGAGCAAGTCGCTCAAAAACGTCGTGAACCCGGACGTGATCATCGAGGAGTTCGGCGCGGACACGTTCCGGCTCTACGAGATGTACATGGGCCCGCTCGAAGCGAGCAAGCCGTGGAACACCGACGACACCATCGGCCTGTTCCGCTTCCTGCAGCGCGCCTGGCGTCTCGTCGCGGACGAGGCGACCGGCGAGTCGAGCTTCGCGTCGGACGCCGACGAGGACATCGAGCGCGCCCTGCACAAGGCGATCGACAAGGTCGGCAAGGACGTCGAGCGTCTGAGCTTCAACACGGCCATCGCCGCGATGATCGAGTTCGTCAACGCCGCGACGCCCCCCGGGGCCGCGACGGGCAAGTCGCCCCTCACGAGCGCGCAGGCGGCGATCTTCGCGCAGATCCTCGCGCCCTTCGCCCCGCACCTCGCGGAGGACATCTGGGCGCGGGCGGGCATGTCCGGCCTGGCGTGCGACTCGTCGTGGCCGGAGGCGGACGAGTCGCTGCTCGTCGCGGACACCGTCGAGATCCCCGTGCAGGTGATGGGCAAGGTCCGCGCCAAGATCAACGCCCCGGCCGGCGCGGACGACAAGACGCTCGAGTCCCTCGCGATGGCGGACGAGAAGGTTCAGAGCTGGATCGAGGGCAAGACGGTCCGGAAGGTGATCGTCGTTTCGGGCCGGCTCGTGAACATCGTCGCGAACTGAGCGGCGGGCTCAGTCGTTGTCCTCGTTCTCGCCGGCGTCTTCGGCGCCCCCGGCATCGAGCAGCGCCCGGCGCGCTTTCTTGTACTGGTCGACGATCGCCTCGCGCTGCTTCAGCAGGTCCTTGATGCGGCTCTCGGCGAAGAACCGCTCGCGGTCGGTCCGCGTGCGGTCGCCCAGGACACGCTCCTGCTGCGCGATCCGCTGCTCGATGAGCGCGACCTGATTCTTCGAGGTCTCCTGCAGCGCGACGATCCGCTTCTCCTCGGCCGTGAGATTCTCGGCGTCGGCGATCGGGATCGGGGCGTCGATGCCCGGCTCGGTCTCATCGGCGTCGACGGGCGCCGCCGGCCGGCGGAGGTCCTGCACCTGGCGCATCCGGAGCTTCTGGTCCACCGCGACGACCCCCGGGTCGATCCCCGCGGACGCGCTGATCACGTCCGGGTGCGAGCGCCGGTTGGGCTGGCGGTCGAGCTGTCGCCACTCCTCTTCCGAGAGCCCGTCGTCGAAGATCACCTTCGGCCGGCGAGTCTCGTACCCCTCGCGCTGCAGGCGGTAGGTCATGGCCGCGTCGAGCGTCGCCGGCGGGAGGCCGCGCTGCTGGCCCAGGTTCGCGTAGTGTCCGAGGGGGACCTCGACTTCGACGGTCTCGGCCTTCGGGTGGTTGACGATCGCCATGCACAGGGCGTTGTGCGTCATGCCCTCGTTGGCGATTTTGTCGAAGAGCTCCTCGAGCGCGTCCGTGGGCACGCGCCGGATGGTGACAGGCAGCGTCTCACCCGCGGCGCGGGAGATGATCGCGAGCTGCGTGAAGGCCTGCGCCTGGTTCGCGGCGCGGAAGCCCGTTCGCATCTCCTGGTACGGGACACCGTCGATCTCGATGAACACGTCGTACGACTTCACGAGCCCGAGCCGCTGGCAGGGGAAGTTGTTGATCACCTGCCGGATCATCGAGGGCTCGCCGGGGTCGGTGACCTCGAACTGGATACCCATCGCCGCGCGCTCGATGCCCTCGAACCACCGCGCGTACACGCGACGCAGGCGGAGGCGAGCCTCCGGGACGAGATCCTCGCGGTTCATCAGGCGGATGAGCTCCGCCTCCTCGACCGAGTCCAGGAAGTCGGGGTCGGTCAGCACCGCCTGGGCCGTCTGACGCGTCTGGAACGAGTCCGAGCCGAGGTCCCGCACCAGCTGCTCGAGCTGCGCGGCGCGGCCGGCGAGCGCCGGCGTAGCGACCGTCAGGCTCAGGGCCGCGGCCAGTGCGGTTCGTGCGATCCGGTTCATCCTCGTCACCTCGTCTCTCACGCGAGCGATGCGATCACCCGCTCGGCCGTGGATTCTAGCCACGCGACCTTCCGGCAGATCATCTGCAGGAAGGTCTCCCCTTCGATACCGGCGAACCGCCCGCTGGCGGCGATCGGGACCACGGATTCCACGATCAGCGCCTCCACCATAAGCCAGGGGAACGCCCGGAGCTCGCTTTTCGAGATCATCGCCCCGGAAACCTCGTCGTAGCCCGCGCAGAAGGCCTTCAGGAGCCCCATGTCCAGCTCCGCGGGCCAGGTCCCGGGGTCGTCGTTTTTTCGCGTGATCGAGAACTGGAGCCCCCCGTTGGCCAGATCGATCACCCGCGGGCTCACGCGGCAGGTGTCCAGATCGATCATCGTGGGCGGGTCCGGCGGCGAGCCGGGGCCGTAGAGGATGTTCCCGGGGTGCCAGTCGCCGTGGATGATCTGGTTGGGCCAGCCAGCGAGCCCGCACTCGTTGGCGAGGTGCGAGGCGTTCGCGTACGACTCGCGCAGCTTCCCGACGACGCGCCGCATCGAGTCCGTCGGGATCAGACCGGCGATCAGGTCGAGGTGCTCGGCGAGCTTGTCGTTGTCGTGGTACGTCGGCTGGTACGCGGCGCGGTCGATGGGCTCCTCGGCCGCGACGGTGTGGAAGATCGCGAGCGCCCGCCCCGCGGCCCGCGCCTGCTCGGGATCGTGGCGGTAGTGCTCGCCCGAGACGAAGCGGTAGAGCACGTACTTGTGGTCCCCGTGCGACACCCAGCCGGGCTCGTCTCCACGGCTCAGGGGCTTGGAGGGGATGATGTCCGCGACGGGCACGCCCCGGTCGCGCAGCGCCCGGCAGATGCGCTGCGCAAACCGGACGCGGTCGACGTCGTCCGTGTGACGCGCCAGCCGCTTGAGCAGATAGGGGTGGCCCTCGAAGGTGTGCACGAGCGCCTTGGCCGACCGCGAGCTGCCGCGGTGGAAGGGCTTGACGGTGCGGAGCGGCCCGAGGCCGTAACGTGAGAGGACGACGGCGAGCTCGCTCGCGTCGAACGCGTCGCGTGGGGTCGGCTCGTGGCGGTCGGTTGACATGGGAGACCCCGCCCGCGCGTGCGCGGGCTCACTCGGCGTTCTGGACCTGTTCTTTGATGCGATCGATCGCGCCCTTCACCTCGACGATGTCCTTGGAGATGTCCGCGTCCGAGCACTTGCTCGCGATCGTGTTCGCCTCTCGGAGCATCTCCTGGGCGAGGAAATCGAGCGTGCGCCCCACCGGCTCGTCGTGATCCGACGTGATGAGCTGCTTGAACTGGCCCATGTGGCCGGTCAGGCGGGCGATCTCCTCGGAGATGTCCGTCTTCTCGGCGTACACCGCGACCTCGCGGATCAGCTCGACGGGCTCGACGTGCACCTTCGCCTCCTTGAGCAGCGCGTCGATCCGCGTGCGGAGGCGGGTCTCGTAGTCCTGCACGACCGTCGGGGCCCGCTCGGCGATGCGCGCCAGCCGGCTCACGATCAGGTCGTGGTGCTTGAGCAGGTCCTCGACGAGCAGCTCGCCCTCGCTGCGGCGCATCGCCATGACCTTCTCGCAGGCCTTGATGAGGATCTCGCGGAACGCCTCGTTCGCGCGCTCGTGGCGGGACTCGTCGTCCGCCTTCGGCTGGAGCACGCCGGGCAGGTTGAGCAGCGAGCCCGCGTCGATCGACGCCTGACCGTTCGACAGCGCCGGCACCGAGCGGATCTGCTCGATGTACCGCGCGAGCGCCTGCGCGTTGATCGCCATCGCGGCCGTCTCGCTCTGCTCGGTCACCTTCGCGATGAGCGTGATCGTCCCGCGAACGAGGCGGCGGCGCACCTCCGCTTCGAGCATCGGCTCGAGCGACTGGTACTCCTCCGCGAGGCGGATGCTCGATTTGAAATACTTCCCGTTGAGGGAGCGCACCTCGACGGCGTAGTGCGTCCCGCCCACCGTGGTGGACGCCTCGCCGAAGCCGGTCATGCTCCGGATCACCGCTGCGGGTCCTCGGGGGTCTCGCTCGGCGTGCCGGTCTGCGTGCCGGCGACGCCCTGGCCCGCTTCCTGCTGAGCACGGGCGCGGTCCGCCTCCTGCTGCATGAACTCGTTCAACGCATCACTGTCGCCGATCGGCTGGATATCGACGGTGTTCCCGGCAGAGTCCGTGGCGGTGACGGGCTGGTCGCCCGCGGGCGTTTCGCTCGGCGCAGTCTGCTGCTCGCCGACCGGGGCGGTCACCGAGGCCTGCGGGTCGGTCCCGCCCGGCCGGATCATGAAGTTCAGGCTGATCGCGAGGGCGAGAAAGAGCAGGAAGACGCCGATGGTGCCCGTCGTGAGCGCGTCGCCCGTCTTGGCGCCGAACGCCGTCCCGCCGCCGCCGGCGCCCGCGCCGAACGCGTCGCTCAGGCCGCCACCCTGCGGGCGCTGGACGAGCACGATCAGGATCATCATCACGCTCGCCGCGACGAACCCCACCACGGTGAGGCCGAGCACGACTTGATTGACAGCGAGCAGGTGGAGCATCAGAAAACCTCTGGCAAATCGGTCAGGAATCGAAGGATTGACCCGGGCAGAGCCGCCCGAATCGAGCCACACAGTGTACCCATCAGCCGCTCACCGCGTCGGTTTTTCTCGCCGCCTCGATGATCCCCTGGAACGACGCGGCGTCGAGCGACGCCCCGCCCACGAGGCCGCCGTCGATATCGGGCATCGCGAAGAGTTCCGCCGCGTTCCCGGGCTTGACGGATCCGCCGTAGAGGATGCGGATCGCCGAGGCGTGGGACTCGCCGAGCAGCTCCGCGACCCGCCCGCGGATGAAGGCGTGGGCGGTCTGGGCGTCTTCGGGGGTGGCCGTCTTGCCGGTGCCGATGGCCCACACGGGCTCGTACGCGATGACGAGCCGGTCGGCGGACTCCGGATCGAGCCCGTCCAGCGCGGTGGTGAGCTGCATGTCGTTGACCTCGTCGGTCTCGCCCGACTCGCGCTCGTCGATCGTCTCGCCGATGCAGAGATAGGGGGTGAGCCCCGCCTTGAGAGCCGCGTGGAGCTTCGCGCGGACCTGCTCGCTCGTCTCGCCGATGACGTGGCGGCGTTCCGAGTGCCCGATGAGCACGTGCGAGACGTGCAGGTCCTCGAGCATCGCGATGGAAACCTCGCCCGTGAACGCGCCGTCCGGCTCGTGGTAGACGTCCTGAGCCCCGACACCGATGTGCCCCGCGTCCATCACCGCGCGGACGACGTCGAGGTACACAAACGGCGGAAACACAACGACTTGCACGGAATTCGTGAAGTCGTGCGCCGACTGCGAGACCGTCTGCATGAGCTTCACGGCGCTCTGGCGGTTGGTGTTCATCTTCCAGTTGCCGGCGACGATGGGGGTGCGGGCGGTCATGGCGGCTCCGAATCATCGCGACCGTGGTCGCGAGCGGGTGGTGGGGGAGAAAGAATCCGGCGAAAACCCGATTGTACGCCCTCGCCCGCGCGTCGGAGTTCGAGGGCCCACCGGGGATGCGTCGGCCGGCGTTCCCGGGCTAGAATGGGCCCCGACACACGAGACCGGCCGATCGGCCGGTCCGAGGACACCCGAGGGGCGCCGCCCGCCGATGGACGGAACACACCACACCAGCCGATAACGTGGGAACGGGCGATCGAAGGAGCGATTTGTGATCATCGATGTCTGCACATTTGCGTGGAAGGGCGCCTCGCCCTGGTTCAGCCTCCGGGGGGGCGGCGCGGGGGGCGTCTCCGGCGTCGGGCCCACCGGCACCGAGTCCGTCCGGTCCTCGGCCGCGGACGCCTCGATCCTCCTCGGCTACGCCTCGAACCACCTGAACATCCACATCCCGTACGAGGCGGTCGCCTCGCGCGTCGCGAGCGACGAGCGGGTCTGCGCCGGCTTCGCGGGGATCGACCCGCTCGACGAGGGCGCGGGCGACCAGCTCGCCTCGGCCCTCGAGCTCGGCGCCGCCGGCGTCGTCGTGAGCCCGGCCGACCAGGACTGCCGCCCGACGAACGAGCGGTTCATGGACCTGATGTCCGAGTGCGAATCGCGCGACCTGCCCGTGATGGTCACGAACCCGGGCCTGCGGTGCGCCGCGTCGCGCCTGGAGTACGCCAACCCGGCGCTGCTCGACGAGGCGGCGCTCGCGTTCCCGCGCCTCACGATCGTGATCGGCGAGTTCCGCGTCCACCCGGAGCACGCGCTGCTCATGCTCGCACGCCACGAGAACGTCTTCGCCGAGACGAGCACGCTCGTCGGCAACCCCAGCGCCCTGCACCAGGTCCTGCTCTCGGCGCACCACACGGGCGTGACGGACAAGTTCCTCTTCGGCTCCGGCGCCCCGCTCACCAGCGCGGACGACGCCGTGCAGCGCATCTTCTCCATCAACAAGCTCGGCGCGGACCCGAGCGTGGCGGTCCCGCGGGAGAAGCTCCGAGCGATCGTCGAACGCGACGCGCTGGAGCGGCTGAACCTCCAGGATTCGACCACTGCCATCGTCCGGACCGCGGGCGTGACGCAGAGCCGGCCCGCGGCATCGCAGGTCGCCTCGTGATGCGCCGCACGCTCGCGATCATCCCCCTCGCCCTCCTCGCCGCCTGCGGCAGCGTGGACCGCGCGCTCACCAACCTGAGCCTCGGCTCCGGCGCGTCGGTCACGATCACGTCCACGACCGAGCCCGTGACGATGACCCCGGAAATCCGGACGCGCGTCTTCAGCTCGACGGACAAGAACACGGCGGACATCTTCCTCTCCGACCTCTCGCCCGAGGACCTGACCCGGGCGCTCGAGAGCGAGGGCGTGAACGCGAACGGCAACCTGATCCACATCCACATGTTCCTCATGCCCAAGGCGGGTGAGACGCCCGTGGAGTTCACCGCCGCGAACGCGACGGTGCGCCACTACGTCATCGCCGACGGCGCAGTGGGGATGTACTCAGGCGGCGGGTTCCTGCTGCCGTCGTCCGAGCCGACGGGCAGCCGCATCAGCGCCCGCCTGGGCGGCGCGACCCTGCGCCTCGCGCGACAGAAGGGCCCCTTCGTCGACCGCCTTGGCACCGCGCAGCTCTCCGGCGGCGTCACCGCCGATCGCGACGAGCAGGCCGTCACCGCGATCGAGTCCCGCCTGCCGATCCTCACCGGCGGGTGATTTTCCTCTTTGATCGAATCGCTCACGCGTGCTCGCGCCACCAGCGCCCGAGCAGGCTGTCCGCGGCGTCGTGGTAGAGCGAGCGGAGGATGTCCGCCGGCATCGATTTGCCCCGCAGGTTCGGCGCGTCCAGCTTCGTGTAGCGCTCGGGGTCCATCATGTGGAGGTCGCCGTCCGCGATGGGGGACTCACCGTCGTAGTTTGTCTCCCAGAGCGTCCGCAGCGCCCAGTAGCGCGAGGCGTAGAGGTCGAAGGCTTCCTCCGGGCTCGACGCCTGCTGCGAGCGGTCGAAATCGTCCCGCGTCTTCGCGCTCACGTGCTCGTCGAGCGTGACGATGTCCGAGCCGAAGAGGATCCGCCCCTTGAAATCGGTGAGCAGGGCGAGCAGGTCCTCGCGCGGCTGCTTGCTCAGCTCGCGCACCATCCACTTCGTCGCGCTGGAATCCAGGTGGAGGTTCGGGTGCTTCTCGAGCATCCGGCGCAGGAACGCGAGGTCCTCGGGCCACCCGCCCATGTGCGCCGCGATGACGGGCTGCGAGTAGTTCTCGAGCATGCGCTCGAGCGGCGTGTACTGATCAAGCTTCGTGCCGTACTTGCTCGCGTCGTGGTACTTCTTCGCGAACCACGTGTCCGGGTCGGCGATGTGCACCATGAACATCATGCCCAGCTCGGTCGCCTTGTCCATCTGCTTGCGCCGCCACGGGTGGTCGAGCGAGAGCAGCTTCGGGTCGCCCGCCTGCTCGCCGTAATCGACGCTGCGCGGCGCGCACCAGAACTTGCACATCCGGCTCCCGTACGAGTGCCACGTCACCAGGTCGTCGACGTACCCCTGCGTGAACGCGTGCTTGCGGTCGTCGCTCAAAAACCGCGGCACCGCGATGAACCGGAGCGTGTCGCCGAAGATCGCTTTCAGATCCTCCGCCTCGCCGAGCGAGCTCATCGAGTACGTCAGCTCGACACCGTACAGCTCGCGGACCTCCTTGTAGACGAGCGAGGCCTTGACGCCGTGGATGTGCGAGTGCGCATCGGTGATCGGGGTCGGCGGCGCGCCGAGCCGGGCCGCCTCGTCCCTGTAGTTCAAGCCCAGGCGGTTGGCCGCCTTCACGCCGGAGGTCTCCGCGGATGTGTTCATGGCGGTCCGATCCTAGCGGGTCGCCCGCCCGGGGGCGACGGTGAATATGAAGACGGCGCTCGGCCCCGCGCGGTGCCCCGCCGTGGGATGCGTGGTACCGTCCACGGGTCACGAGCACGTCAGCAAAGCGAGCCCCCCATGAGCGACACGAACACACGCCGATCCGTCTCCCTCGAGGACCTCCGCGCCGCCAACCTCAAGCGGGCCGAGGAGTGGCACGGCGAGGAACGCGCCCCCACGATCGAGTACCGCTTCATGGAGCTCGCCGGCGAGGTCGGTGAGGCGTGCAACGCCCAGAAAAAACGCTCCCGGAGCGACATGGGCATCCGCGGGGGCAGGGACACCAACCTCGACCACATCGAGGAGGAGCTCGCGGACGTGCTCATCTGCCTCGACCTCGTCGCGATGGACCTGGACATCGACCTCGGCGAGGCCGTGCGGAAGAAGTTCAACAAGACGAGCGAGAAGTACGGGCTGAACGTCCGCCTGGGCGAATAAAAAAAGACCCGGCCGCGCGTCGTGGCGCGACCGGGTCGAGATTCCCACGCCGAAAATTCGCCGCGGCGTGGGTCACCGCATCAAGGGAGATCCGGCGCTCAGCGGCGGCGACGCGAGGCGAGCCCCGCGAGGCCCAGCGCGATCCCCGCGGAAGCCGGAGCCGGGACCGTGTTGATGGCGAGGTCGTCGACGAGGATGCGCGGCGCGCTGAACTCGCCGCCGAACGTGGCGGTCAGCTTCAGCTCGTCGAACTGCACGCCGTCGATCATCAGCGTCGCGAAGGCGATCTCGTCGCGCTCGTCCGGGTCGTTGCCGGCGATCACGAACGAGTCCGTCCCGACGTGCTGCCCGTTGAGGTAGGCGTCGAGCGAGTAGGTGATGCCGCCCCACGGGCCGAGCTCGAAGTACGCCATCTCGAGCGAGGCGAAATCCGCGACTTCGTCGAGCGTCATGTCCACCTTCGCGATCGCGCCGAGCGAGAGGTTGTCGCCCGGGATGAACGCCGTCCCGAAGGTCAGCGCCTTGTCCGCGCTGCCCCAGCCCGGGAAATCGTTGTACAGCAGCGTCGCGTCCTCGACGATCACCTGATCGCCGATGTCCGCGGACGTGAACGTGTCGCCGTTCGGGAACACCCCGCCGGTGTTGTTCACGTTCGAATACGTCACGCCGTTGTACGAGAAGGTGTCGCCCTTGAAGCCCTCGGAGAGGTCGTCGTAGGTGCTCACGGTGAGCCCGGCGTTCGCGGCCGTCGTCAGGCCGGCGAGCAGGGCAGCGCTCAGGATCGTCTTCATCACTTCACTCCTTAGATTCACGAAAAACACACACAAACACACAGGAAGGAGCGCCGCCGCGGACCGGCGGATCGCCCCGGAAACGTCGTTCACTGTTCTCGTCGCTCCCTCGGGAGCAGCTCGTGGCGCACCATTACGGAGGTGGGCATCGGCGGGTACTGCATCCGCACGCGGTACACGTCGTACGCGCCCGCGTCCTCGCCGAGCAGCTCGAAGACGCGCGAGACGAGCTCCACGCACCGCGGGACGTCCGGCGCGTGCGCCATCGTCAGCCCGCGCCCCAGGTGGATCAGCTTCTCCGGGATCGGCAGCTCGCTCCCCTCGTCGAACGCGAAGTTCGACGCCAGGTCGGAGAAGAGAAGCGCCTCGCGCTCCACGTCCCCGAAGAGGTCCTTGTGCACGAGCAGGTCGTAGTGCAGCTGCTCGGCCGGCGTGCGGACGCCCATCCCGAAGTGCGCGACCTTGTCCGTCTCCGTCGCGTGGTCCGCGCCGATGTTCCGGATCAGCTCGCCCGTCACGATCGAACGCTCACCCGCCGGACCGACCGGCCCCGAAACGAACTCGTCGTGCACCATCCCGTCCGGCGTGGGGCGGCGCGTCGTCTCGGGCACCGGCGACGAGCAGTATTCCGGCAGCACCGGAACCCCGCCGTGCGCGAGCGCCCCGGCCGAGTCGAGCGGCACGCGCGTGAGCGTCGCCCGCGTGCGCGCCTCGTCGTCCGCGATCACCGACTGGTTCACCACCCACCGCACGTCCGGACGCACCTGCTTGAACCCCAGAATCCCCCGCACCTGCGCCGCGTGGAAGAAGCGGGGGGTGTCGCGCGAGGGCAGCAGCACCGTCATCCCGAGCAGCACGCGGCACTGGGCGCCCCAGACGTAGCTGTTGCCCTGGAAGCTCTGCTGACGCCAGCGAATGTCGACCTGCTCGTCCTTCTCCGTCTGGCACGACTCGAAGAGCATCTCCAGCTCGGACCGGCTCGCCGCGTGCGCCCCGGCCATCGCCTCGAACGCCTCGCCCGCCTCGCGCACCTTCGCGATCATCTCGGAGGAGACCCCCGCGCCGCTCGCCGCGTCGAGCCACGTGCGCAGCGCCTTGGGCGTGGGCATGTGGCGGGCGGCGAGGAAGGGGTCCGTCGCGTAGGCGACCTTGGTCATCTGCCAGGCGAGCTTGCGGTGGACGCCGAACGCCTCGCAGATCGCGCTGACGGCGGGGTCCGCGGGGCACTTGCTCTCGATCATCCGGCTGATGGCGTCCCGCGCCTGTCCGACCACGCGGACCGCGTCCGTCTGAAAAGCGTTTTCTGGGGTCTCGGAGGCGGTCGGGGCCATGCAGAGAACATATCCCCGGACGTCGATGTTCCAAACACTATTTCAGAAACAACAAATGAAATACCAAAAATCGGCGTTTCTGGCTCATCAATGAGCGTTTCGACTCACCGGCTTCGGGGGCGGTGCTCCCAGCAGCGCTCGGAACCCGCGGGCCCCGGCTCCATACAACGGGTATGCCCAGACCAACCATTGCGCTCGCCGCGTCCATGGCACTCGTCTCGATCGCGTCGGCCCACCCCGGCGCCGGCCTCGAGGTGGATGAGCAGGGTGCCGTCTACCTCTCGGACATCTTCCGGCGCACCATCTGGAAGATCGACGCGGACGGCACGCCGACGAGCTTCGTCCCCGGCTCGTGGTCGCACGAGTTCTACCTGAACGCCAACGGCGAGCTTGTCTACGAGAACGAGCACGACGGCGACCCCTCGCCGCAGTCGCTCAATGTCATCACGCCCGAGGGCGATCGGACGCGGATCTTCCCGCCGGCGCACGACCTGATGGATTTCGGCGGCACCGCGTTCTTCGTCGAGCAGAACGGCGACGTGCTGTTCACCAACACGGTTCGGGGCGAGGGCAACGCGTGGTACGCCGTGGTGCGTCGGCGCGATGCAGGCGACCGCACGGGCGCCACGGCGCGCACCGTCGCGGGCGCGACCGCCGGCGCGATGTACGCCGACGGCCCCGCGGAGCGCGCGACGTTCCGCATGCTGATCGACATGCGCCGCGACGAACAGGGCAACACCTGGCTCCTCGACCGCGACCGCATCCGCGTCCTCTCGCCCGAAGGCGACGTGCGCACGCACGGGCCCGTGCTCATCGAGGAGAACCCGAAGAACCCGCCCTTCCGCAACGCGCCGCTCACCACCTGGAACCGCCTCTACGGCCTCGCGCTGGACGAGGCGGGCAACGCGTACGTCGCGTATTTCGCGGGGCGGCGCGTCCACCGCGTCTCCCCCGAGGGCGAGTTGTCCACAGCCCACACCTCCGAAGGCGGGTGGGCGCCGGTCGGTGTGGCGATTTCCCACGACGGCGAACTTTTCGTCTCCGAGGTGAGCGACCGGGGCCAGAAACTACGGGTTGTGGTGGTGGGGGACAGCGGCCCCGAGGTGTTGGTCACGCTCCCGGACGACGCCTGAATCCAACGAGCACCCCTCGGCCATGCAGAGCCCGAACATGCACTTTTTCCGCCCATATCGTGCGCGCAAGTGTTGATGTGTGTTGCAGAGTGGGGTAGATTCCCATGATCGAACACCGATCGCCTCCAGCACCACATCGGGGACAGATGATTGCTCTTCACGGGCCAGTACGAGCACACGATCGACGCCAAGCGTCGCCTCGCGATTCCATCGGGCATCCGCGCCCGGTGGGACGAGCGGAAGGACGGATCGGCGTGGTATGCGGTGCCCTGGCCGGGCGGGATCATCCGTCTCTACACCGAATCGGACTTCGAGCGTCTCTCATCGGAGCGAAAGACGACTCTCACACCCGACGAGGGATCCGCGGAGCTGGAGGCGATTCTTTACGGCATGTCGGCGCGTCTGGAGACGGACGCGGCGGGTCGCATCCGCTTCCCGGAGGACATGCTCGTGATGACCGGCCTGGACGGGGAGGTGGTGCTCGTCGGGGCGGGGGATCGCCTGGAAGTCCGCGACCGTCAGGCGTGGAGGAAGGGACAGGCGGAGCGCCTCGCGAAGCTGCCCGAGCTCATCGCTCGGGCGAAGAGCGGCTCATCCGACGGATGAGTTGAGTTGGAGGAAAGAGAGTTCGCTCGCGTCGAGGGGCGCGCGGCGAGCATTGCCGGAGTCCATTGGGTGACGGCAGCCGGCGCACGGACGCGCCGGTGCATCAACCGAATCGCGAAGAGGGACGCGAAAGGATTCGCGTTCCCGAATCGCCCACCACCCGGGCCGAGGCGCAAGGACGCGCCAAAGCAAGGATCGGCGTTGGCCGGCCACCGGGGGCCCGGGCGTCTCGGGAACCCTCTTTCCGGTTCACCGAAACCACAATCTTCTGCGAGCACGCGCACCCGCCTTCGAGCGGGTGTGTGTGTCTTGGGGGGTAATGGCCAGTGGGCAATGGCCAATGGAAAACAGAAGCCGCGAGCGGGAGCGAGCGGACAGACGGCACGCGCATGACGCCTGATCAGCCCGGTCGCTCACGCTCCCGGTTGTCTTCGTGTTGCCTTGGCGGAATGGCTTACGTGCGCTCGAGCCGGCGCTCAAGCGACGTCCGCATCTTCTCCGCGGCCGTGGTGATCGCGTCGTAGAAATCGCCCGCGCGGTCCTCGACGACGAGCGGGTCACGCCCCGCGGGGCGCGCCTCGATGAGGCAGCGCTTGTCGTCCGGCCCGGCCTTCGCCTGGCCGTTGAGATCCGAGAGGTGGACCTCGTACCGCGTGACGCGTTCGCCGAAGCGACCGACGGTGCGCTCGAGGGTCTCGCGGACGTGCGCGTCAAGGGCGTCGGAGTGATCGAAATTGGAGGTGTTGATCTGGATTTGCATGGGAAGACTCCTGCTTTGGGACGGGTACTACCGTACACAAGCGATCGGGGTTCGTGAATTCGCGTTCAGATTGCATGAAAAACGCCGCCCCAAAGCGGAGGCGGCGTTCTGATATTCACTGCTGCCCGGCGCCCGATGGCCGATGCCTCAGATCATCCCGTCGTCGTCCTCGGCGATCTTCCACGCGCTGCCCAGCGCCAGGAGGAACCAGAGGCCGTCGAAGAGGGAGAACGAATCCCAGAAAACCTCTTTCGTCAGCGCTGCGGTGTATGTGTCGACGTCGGCTCTCGCGTCGTCGATGCGGTCTTCTCGCTCGGACTCGGGCAGACCGTCCCACGTCTCTTCCATCGCCCGCCAGACGTCGACCGGGTAGTCGCTCTGATCCCACGCCTCCTCGTACGTCATCCCCTCCGGCCAGGCGAGTTCGCGTCCCTGGTCCTGCCAGGAGAGCGCGATGTCGTCCGCGATCACGACGCGAGCGTGGTGCAGCAGCTGGGACTCGTTGTACGACCCTTCCATGAATTCGTTGACGTCGAGCTTCACGCCGGCGTACTTGCCGCCGACGAGGCCGACGCACGCGCACACCAGCGCGATCACGCCGGACATGTTGCACGAGCTGTCGTACATCGCCACGCGCACGCCCACGCCGGCCGCGATCCCGACGCCCCACGCGACGAGCCCGAGCTCGAAGTCGGCGTAGTGGTAGATCGCCGCCCAGACCGCGGCGCCGAGCAGCGCGCCGATCAGGCCCCCGATGAAACACTTGAGCACAGCCATGACAGTCCCTCATTGACGCGGACACGGAACCACAGCGGGTCAGCCTACCGGAGACCTAACCAAAGACAACCCCAAACATGAGGCATCGATAAGAAAAAAACGCCGCCACAATCTTGTGGCGGCGTTCCGCATTTCACTGTTGCCTGATGGCCGATGCCCGATGCCTCGCGCTCAGGCCGAGACCGTCGTCTTCCCCGCGTTCTCGTGCTCGAACTGCTTCATGAAGTCGACGAGGGCGGTGATGCCCTTGGCCGGGAAGGCGTTGTAGACGCTCGCGCGCATGCCGCCGATGGAGCGGTGGCCGGCGAGGGTCTTGAGGCCCTTGGCCTCCGCCTGCTTGATGAAGAGCTTGTCCAGCTCCTCGTTCGGCGTGCGGAAACTCGCGTTCATGATCGAGCGGTCCTCGGTCACGGCGTGGGGGATGAAGAAGTCCGAGCCGTCGATGAAGTCGTACAGCGGCGCGATCTTCTCCTCGTTGTACTTCTCGATCGCCTTCAGGCCGCCCTCGGCCTTGATCCACTTGAACACCTGGCCCATGAGGTACACCGCGAAGGTGTTGGGCGTGTTCGGGCGGCTCTCCTTCTTCTGCATGACCTTGTAGCTCATCATCGTCGCGATGTGCTTGTCGTCGGACTTCTGCAGGAACGAGTCCTTGATGAGCACGAGCGCGCAGCCCGACGGCCCGAGGTTCTTCTGGGCCGAAGCGTAGATCATGTCCAGCTCGGAGAAGTCGATCGGGCGGGAGTACATGTCCGACGAGGCGTCGCGGATGATCGGCACGCCCGCCGCCGCCTTCGGCACGCGCTTGAACTCCGTGCCCATGATCGTGTTGTTCGAGCAGAACTGCAGGTACGCGGCGCCCTCGGTCGTCTTGAGCTCGCTGTCCTTCGGCAGGCGGTTGTAGTTCTCGCCCTGGCCGGAGAAGGCGCAGTTCACCGTTCCCGGGAAGCGCTGCGCCTCTTCCATCGCCTTGCGCGCCCATTCGCCGGTATCGATGTAGTCGGTCGTCTTGCCCTCGCCCGAGAAGTTCGCCGGCATGCACGCGAACTGCATCGTCGCGCCGCCCTGCATGAACAGCACGTGCCAGTCGTCCGGGACGTTCCCGACCTCGCGGCAGTCCGCGATCGCCTCCTCGAGGATGCGGTCGTACTCCTTGCCGCGGTGCGAGAGCTCGCACACGCCCATGCCGGAGCCGTCGAAGTTCCAGAGGTCCTTCTGCGCCTGCTTGAGGACGGGTTCAGGGAGGGCGGCGGGGCCGGCCGAGAAGTTGTAGCAACGGTCGCTCATGGGGAATCTCCTGCGAAAACCGGGCCCACCGGGCCGGGGAGGGTGTTTCTCAATTGTAGATCACGCCCCCGGAAAAGGCACGGACAAGATGCGTGCTGGCTCGGGGGGGAGGTTTTTCTTCCGGGGAAGCGGGGGGGTCAGCCGATCTCGGTCAGCTCCACGCTCAGGACGCCGGCCGAGCCGTCCTCGATGGCGGTCATGATTTCCTGCGAGAGCGTGTCCCCGAGGCGGATCTTGGCGCAGGCGCCCTTGTTGCCCTGGTAGATCACGTTCTCCATCTCTTCAATGTTCACCTTGGCCTCGGAGATCCGCCCGATGACGTGCGCGAGCACGCCCGGGCGGTTTTCGTGGCGGACGACGAGCAGCCGCTTCGCGTCGGACCCCGCCTTGCGGTTCACGACGTTTGGGATCTCGCCCGTGTCCATGAAGACCTTGACGATCCGCACCGCCTCGGTCGCGATCGCCTCCTGCGCCTGGTTGGTCGAGGCGCCGACGTGGTGCGTGCCCACGACGTTCGGGTGCTTCGCGAGCGCGGAGTCGAAGCTCTTGTCGCTCGCCCCGGGCTCGTTCTCGTAGACGTCCAGCCCCGCGACGATGCCCTTCTCGTCCATCGCCTTGATCAGCGCCGCCTCGTCCACGAGGCTCCCGCGCGTCGTGTTGATGAGCATCGCGCCCTTCTTCATCGCGCCGAGGAACTCCGCGTTGACCATCCCCTTGGTGTCGGGCGTGGCCGCGACGTGGAGGGAGACGACGTCCGCGTTCTTCGCGACGTCCATGGGCGAGGTCGCGCGCGTCACGCCCAGCTCCTTCGCCTTCGCGTCGTCGAGCGAGCGCGACCACGCGAGCACGGGCATCTCGAACGCGTGCGCCCGCTTGATCACCTCGAGCCCGATCATCCCCGTCCCGATCACGCCGAGCGTGCGCCCTTTGAGGCCCTCGGCCTTGCCGTACCCCTTCTTGTCCCACTTGCCGGCGCGCAGGTCCATCGTCTGCTGCGCGATCTTGCGGTCCAGCGCACAGATCAGGCCCCACGCGAGCTCCGCGACCGCCGTCGAGTTCTTGCCCGGGCAATTCGCGACGGAGATCGCCCGCTTCGACGCCGCCTCGACGTCGATCGTGTCGTACCCCGCGCCGGCGCGGATGACGAGCGCCAGCGCCTTCGCCGCGTCGAACACCGGCTCGGGCACCTTCGTCGACCGCACGACGAGCACGTCCGGGTCGTGCTCGGTCATCGCGTCGGGGAGGGTCTCCGGGCCCAGCTCGGGGTCGGAGACGACCTCGCACCCGAGGGCGTGAAGGGCGTCGACGCCCGATTGTTCGAACTTGTCCGCGATCAGCACCTTCATCGGCGAATCTCCCTGGCGAGTGGTCCCTATAGACTTGGGCGAACGGGGCGGAGATTGTACCGACCCCTCCGGCCGCGCACCGCCCCCGGGAGAATCACCCGATGCCCAGACCCCTCGCCCCCCTCGCCCCCCTCACCGCCCTCGCGATCTTCCTCGCGGCCCTCGTGTCCGCCACGCACGCGGCCGACTCCGACGCCGAGCTGCCCCTCACGAAGGAGGCCGCGCTGGAGATCCTCGTCAACGGCGACCCCAACGAGGAGAACCGCATCGACGAGGCGGAGTACGACCGGCTGCTCGAGGAGTTCAAATCCGCGCACAACGCGCACGGCGACGGCCGCTGGGCGGCGGGCGTCGCGCTCATCCTCATGGACCGCGAGCAGAACGAGGAGGCGTACGACTGGGCGAAGAAGGCCGTGGAGCTCGGGCCGGACGTCGCCGTGACCCAGTACGCCCTCGGCTCCACCGCCGGCGTGATGGCGAACGAGGCGAGCATTTTTTCCAAGGGGGCGTACGCGAAAAAATGTCGGAAAGCTTTCGAGCGGGCGGTGGAGATCGACCCGGAGCACTTCCCGTCGCGCACGGGCCTCGTGATGTTCTACACCTTCGCGCCGGGCATTGCCGGCGGATCGTGGGCCAAGGCGTACGAGAACGCCGAGGCGATCACGAAGATCGAGGGCCACGAGCGCGACGGCTGGCAGCTCAAATCCATGGTCGCCGCGCAGAAGGGCGACTGGGAGGTGTACGACGACGCGATGGCCAACGCGCTGTCGTACATGGAGAGCGACCACGGCACCGACACCCTCCGCGCCCAGCACGCGTACACGGTCCTCTTGCAGAAAGAAGACCCCGCCGGCGCGCTCAAGGCGCTCGAAGCGGTCGAGAACGAGCAGGTCATGAACGAGGTGCTCTACACCTACGTCACCGCGCGCGCCCTGCAGGAACTGGAGCGGTTCGCCGAGGCGGTCCCGTGGTACGTCAAGACCATCGAGATCCAGCCCGAGACGAAGAACTCGCGCATCCGACTCGGCGAGTGCGCGCTGGAAGCGGGGCAGTACGAGACGGCGCGGGACGCGTTCCAGGGGTACCTGGATCGGTACCCGAAGGGGGAGGACGCTTCGAAGGCGAAGAAGGGTTTGAAGCGGGCGAGTCGATAAAAGTTCAGATTCGTGAAAATCGAGTGCTCGAAATAGCGAGCATCGTTCGACTCATATCCGTGCCACTCGCGGCCCCCAAATGGCCGGAAACGATGAATGCAGTGTGGCCTACACGAGCCGCTGCACACGAATAGCGTGAAGCGGATTGCACGCACATACCCGTGCGTGATCGGCTGTTCATTTCGAGAAGAAAGCGATTGTTCTCACCGTCCCGATCTGGCAGAACGGTGTTGTAGCGTCGCGCCGGTGCGCGGCCGAAGACAACCCTTCTTGAAAGGAATCGTGGGATGAAGACAACGATCAAAGCGGTGAGTGCCGCGACGCTCTGCGCAACGCTGGGCCTGTGGGCGCACGTCACGGCGGACGACGTCGATGAGTGCACGGGCACCTGCTCGCGCATGAGAATCACGAACCTCCACTACAAGTGCAACGATCCGGGCGCCGTGTGCAACGCCGCGGACGACTGCAAGTGCCGCGACGTGACCGACGGCTTCTGGTCGGACTGCTACTGCCTGCCGGCCAACGTGACACGCGAGTGCAACAACGGGTGCGGCGGCGGCTGGGTCGTCAAGAACACGGCCAACAAGGCCTTCGAGCCCGGCGACGAGATCAAATTCGAATTCGTCGCGGCGGATCTCAACTACCTGATCTCGTTCGATTTCGGGGACATCGGCGAGGACGGCTTCCTCGAACGCAGCGACCGGCTCGACGACGATCCCGGGGCGATCCGCGGCGGTTTTTCCATCCTCATCGGCGAGGACCTCGGCGGAGTCGCGAGGGCGACCATGAGGAGCGCCGATTTCATCGTCAACTGCCCGCTGCCCATCTTTGAGAGTCAGAGTTTCGACAACGCGGTCCGATCGGACGGCCGAAACGAAGAGGTCACGGGCTTTTACAACTTCGAGACCAACGAGTTCTCCTGGGATAGGCACCTGACGCTCCACCTCAAGAGCACGCTGTTCACCGATGGCGTCGATCTCAAGGTGCGGCCCGACATGACGCCCCTGAGGGACGGCTACCACCACCTGCACGTCTCGACGTACGTCACGCGTCCGGACTACCTTGCCTGCGGCGTGTCTGATGTGGCGAACCCGATGGGGGTGCTCGATTTTCGTGACATCTCGATGTTCCTGAGCGCCTACACCGAAGAGGCGGAGATGGCCGATATCGCCGAGCCGTTCGGGACCGTCGACGAGCGGGATATGAATACGTTCATCAAGGACTTCCGGAGCGGTTGCCCGCACCCGGTGGAACCCCAGTAATCACCCCTTCCCTCACTCACTCGGCGCTCCGCCCGGCTCGCTCCGTGCGGGGCGTCTTCACTCCGTATCCAGCGTGTGCACCAGCAGCCCCGAACGCAGCTTCGGCTCGAACCACGTGCTCTTCGGCGGCATGATCTCCCCCGCGTCGCTCACCGCCATGAGCTGCTCGATCGTCGTCGGCCGCATGCTGAACGCCACGGCCATCTCGCCCGAGTCCACGCGCTTCTCCAGGCCCGCGGTCCCGCGGATGCCGCCGACGAAGTCGATGCGCTTGTCCTTGCGGATGTCGCCGATGCCGAGGATCGGCGCGAGGACGCGGTCGTAGAGCAGGACGTAGTCGAGCGACTTGATCGGGTCGAACGAGTCAACCGTGGACGGGTCGATCTGCACCGTGTGCCACTCGCCGCCGACGTACATGCAGAAGGAGTAGGGCGTCTCGGGCTCTCTCTTCCCGTCGCTCACCACCGTCGCCTTCTCGCGCACCAGGTCGAGGAATTCGCTCACCGTGTGGCCGTCGAGGTCCTTCACCACGCGGTTGTACGGCAGGATGTTCAGCTCGCGCGCCTGGAAGAGGACGGTGAGGAACCAGTTGTACTCCTCGCCGCCCGTGTGGTTCGGGTTCTTGGCGCGGTGCTCCGCGCCGGCGCGGGCCGCGGAGGCGCTGCGGTGGTGCCCGTCCGCGACGTACGCGCAGGGCAGGTTCGCGAACGCCTTGACGTACGGCTCGGCCGCCTCGACGCGCCACACCGTGTGCGTCACGCCGTCCGGCGCGGTGAAGTCGTAGAGCGGGGCTTCCTTCACCGCGGCCTGCACGAGCGCGTCGATCTTTTCGTCGTCCTTGTGCATCAGGAAGACCGGCCCGGCGTTCGCGTCGAGCGTGAGGACGTGGCGGGTGCGGTCATCCTCCTTGTCCTGGCGCGTCTTCTCGTGCTTCTTGATCAGGTCGTTGTTGTAATCGTCCACGTGGCAGCAGCACACCACGCCTGTCTGCGTGAGCGTCCTGCCGTGCAACGGCATCGACTGGCGGTAGACGTACACGCAGGGCTTCTCGTCGCGTGCCAGCGCGCCCTCGCTCTGGAGCCGCTCGAAGTTCTTCTTCGCGGTCGCGTACATCTCGTCCGCGTACGGGTCGGTGTCCGCCGGCAGGTCGATGTCCGGACGCACGACGTGCAGGAACGAGATGTCGTTCCCCTTGGCGAGCTCGACCGCCTCCTCGCGGTTGCAGACGTCGTACGGGACCGAGGCGACCCTGGACGCGAGATCGACGGGCGGGCGGAGGGCGTTGAACGGCTTGGTGCGGAGCATGGTCGGGTTCCTGCGATGCGGGGCGAAAAGGGTGGATCGGCACGATACCGCGAGGGGCGGAGGGGTGTCGAGGCGGGGGAGGAAGACGAGCGGCGCTCCTCATTCCATCCGCACCAGCCCGGTCGCTCACGCTCCCGGTTGTCTTTGTGTGATCGAAGCACGAAGGCAACCGCGACCGTGAGGGAGCGGGCACGCCCAATCGCAGCAACACCACCCTGATCCACCCCGCGCGCCCGCATACAAAAACACCACGGACCGTCGTACAGACCGAGCCCGTGGTGTTGGGTGTGGGTTCCGTTGTGGTGCGCGCGTCAGTCGTTCTCTTCGTGGCGGTACGCGTCGCCCTCGATGACGCGCTCGAAGATCACGAGGTTCGTCAGCCGCTCCATGTCCCAGCGGATGCCGACGATGTCGAAATCGGCCGAGATCCCGAAGTGCAGGAACGGGCGGATCCGGTTGTCGCACTCGAAGCGCATGTACTTGTAGCCCTCGGACTGCGACCAGTGCTCCGCGGCGTGCATGAGCTGCGAGGCGATCCCGGCGCGGCGCATCTCGGGGACGACGCCGACGAGCCAGGTGTAGTGCGTGGAGGGTTTGAGCTCGTAGCCGACGTAGAACCCGACCGCGTCGTTCTCGATGCGGGCGACCTGGACGAGCGGCTTGAGGCGCCCCTCAAGGCGGCGCGCGATCCACTCGGGGGATTGCTCCGGCCTGAACATGGAGTTGTACAGGTGCGTGACCAGGTCGAGGTCGGTCGGGTTGATCCTGTCAATCGTTGCGTCGGCCATCGACTCTCTCCCTTTCTCAGGCCGCTCTGCTCGTGGTGGTGTGGCTCATGCGTCGTGTATCAAGCTCGGTATCGGTCGTCCGCCGCGCGAATTGCACGGGGCCCGCCAAAGTATGCTCCCGCCGGGTTTGCCCGACTCGCTCATCCCTGAACCCTGACCTATTCGTGACAGAACGCCAACGGTTTCAGGTCACAGGGGGACTGTTTTCGAGCCGTCCGGATAGAAGCGCCTCAGGCGGGATTCCCGGGCGAGAGTTTTCGGAATCTCATCGGCTCCGATGACACGGTTATTCCGACTTCACGCGGGACATGTACGACCCGTCCGCCGTCGACACCTTGATCATCTCGCCGACCTCGATGAACGGCGGCACGCGCGTCTTGAGGCCCGTCTCGAGCGTCGCCTCTTTCAACTGGTTCGTCACCGTTGCGCCCTTGATGCCGGGCGGCGTGTCCGTCACCTGCAGCTCCACGCTCCCGGGCAGCTCGATGACGACCGGGTTGCCGTCGTGGAAGAGCATCGCCGTGGAGGCGTTGGGCGAGAGGTAGAGCATCGCGTCGCCCGCGAAGTCCTCGTTCAGAGTGAACTGGTCGAACGTCTCCGTGTCCATGAAGACGTAGCCGGTGCCGTCGTTGTAGAGGTACTCCGCCTCGCGCCGGTCCAGGTGCGTGCCCTCGACCGTGTCCGACGAGTTGAGCCGCTTGTCGACGAAGCCCGTCCCGCCGACCTCGCGCATCCGCGCCTGGACGTACGCCGGGCCCTTGCCGGGCTTCACGTGGTCCGTCTTCACGACCACGCAGAGCTTGCCGTCGATCGTCACCGCCATCCCGGGTTTCATTTCCGTCGCCTTCACAGCGATTCTCCGAATTCGTCGTTGCGATCCCCTCCGCCGCACTCCGTTGGGCGTCGTCCGGGGATCGTTGGGGTGCAAGTGTAGCGTCGCCGGACCGCCCCCGTCCGCCCCCCGGTTTCCCCCCGGTCCCCCCCCTCGGCCACCAACGTAGGATGGTCCGGTCCCACGTCCGAAAACCTATCCGCGAAGAGGGAGTTCCCCATGCTCGACCGACGCCAGTTCACCGCCGCGACCCTCGCCGCCGCGACGCTCCCGCTCCTCCCCGCCCGCGCCCGGGCCGCCCGTCGCGCCGCCGAGGAAGTCTTCACCTGGACGCCGCTCGGGAAGAACGTCTTCCTCGCCGAGGGCGGCGGCGGGAACGTCATCTACGTCCCCGCCAAGGGCGGCGCGCTGCTCGTCGACACCAAAAACCCCGGGTACGGCGACTCCCTCAAGCGCGAGGCCGAGGCGCGCGGGCACGCGATCACCCTCACCATCAACACCCACCACCACGGCGACCACTCCGGGAGCAACTACGCCTTCAGGGACAACGGCGAGGTCCTCGCCCACGCAAACGCCGCCCCGCGCATCGCCGGCCAGATGGAGCGGTACGAGCGGGGCCTCGCCGGCGCGATCCAGAGCGCGCCGACCGACGGCATGAAGCGCGAGGCCGAGAAACGCCTCGAGATGCTCGAGACGATGGGCGACGCCTGGAAGCCAACGAAGACGGTCGACCGAGACGACGACGAGTACCGCTTCGGCGACCGCGCCGTCGCCTTCATGCACGCCGGCAACGGCCACACCGACAACGACCTCATCCTCTACCTCGAGGACGAGAACCTCATGCACTTCGGCGACCTCATGTTCAACGGGCTCCACCCGTACTGCGACGCGAGCGCCAAGGCCACCCCGAGCGGCTGGATCAAGTCCCTCCAAGCGGGCATGGCCATCGCGGACGAGAACACCATCGTCGTCCCGGGCCACGGCCCCGTGACCGACCGCTCCGGCATCCAGAAGCAGATCGACTACTTCACGCGGCTCCTCGAGAACGTGCAGGCGCAGATCGACGCGGGCAAGAGCCGCGACGAGATCCGCGCCATGACCTTCCCCTTCATGGAAGGCCTCGGCTTCGAGCGCGTCCGCCCGATCGCGATTGAGGTGGCGTACGACGAGCTGACAGGCTGAGCACGCCAGCAACGCGACCAACCCCGACCGTCAGGGAGGGGCTGCCCTGTTCGCACATTCCTACGCGGATGCACGACGCTGCGCGTCGACGTAACCGAGCCCCTCACCCGGTTGTCGGCTGTCGCACGACAACCACCCTCTCCCGCGAGGGGAGAGGGTGCAGACTCAGAACTCCACCTTCGGCGCCTCCCGCGCCGCCTCGCTCTTCACCTCGAAGTGCTCCGCCATCTCGAAGTTGAACATCCCCGCGATGATGTTCGTCGGCACGGATTCGATCTTCACGTTGTACTCCCGCACGTTGCCGTTGTAGAACCGCAGCGCCTGCTGCACGCGGTCCTCCGTGTGCGCCAGCTCGGTCTGGAGCTGTGTGAAGTTGCTCGACGCCTTGAGGTCCGGGTACGCCTCGAGCCGCACCGAGAGCTGGCCGAGCACGCCCGAGAGCTGGTTCTCGATCGCCATCTGCTCCTTCGTCGCCGCGCCGGGGCGCAGCGCCTCGGCCTTCTCGCGCAGCGCGACCACCTGCTCCAGCAGCTCCTTCTCGTGGCTCGCGTACCCCTTGACGGTGCTCACGAGGTTGGGGATCAGGTCGTGCCGGCGCTGCAGCTCGGTGTCCACGTTCGACCACGACTCGCGCACGTGCGCCCGCGATTTCACCAGCGCGTTGTACATCACGATCACGATCAGCGCCACGACGATCGCCAGGCCGAAGCCGATCGCCACCAGCAAGAAAATCGCGTTATTCATCGTCGCTCCTTTCGGTGATCTCTCACACGCGTTGTTCGGATCGCACGTCGCCCGCTTCCGTCAGCGGCGGCATCCCCGCCGCCACGCGGGCGTTGTTCACGAGCACCCGCGGCAGGTTCCCCAGGAACCCGCGCGTGAACCGCTCCAGGGTCATCACGTCGTGCGGGTCGAGGCGCCCCTTCAGCACGACGAGCACCTCCTCGCCCTCGGTCTGGATCCCAAGCCCGCTCCACCCGCGCATGTACAGCATGAGCGAGGCTCCGAAGAGGTCGTACGCGTCCTTGCGGTCCGCCGCTTTGACGACGAACTGCTTCGAGAACTCCGGGTCCTCGAGGTCGATGTCGTCGAACCCGATGCCCTGCACGAGCTTGTCGCCCAGTGTCTCGTCGCGCAGCTCGACCCGCCCGAGGCGCATCGGCACGTGGAAGTGCAGGCACGTGAAGTAGTAGTGGTGGGTCTGGCGGTTTTTTCCGCTCCCCGTCGTGATCGCGTAGTGGTACTCGAACGCCTCGGCCCGCGCATCGCCGTTGCCAGGGCCGCCATGGATCGCCTTCGCGATCGTCTTGCCCATGTGGTACCGCGACCACCGCGAGTGCCCCTTCTGGAACAAATCGCTCGGGAACCGCGGCCGCCCGTGGCGTTTGCTCAGGTCGAGCGTCCACCCGTACTGCGCCGCGAACGCGACCAGCGCCTCGCGACGCTTCTTCTCCGCGAGCCAGACGAAATACGCGCCGACCGCGGCCGCGATGACCGCGACGATTGTGAACAGGAGTTGTGCCGGGCTGTCATCCATGGGCGGGTGTCACGCGAGCGTGCCCTATCACCCTAATGGGCGGGGCCGCCCCCGGCATGTCCCGCGCCGGGCCGTTTGGGGACACGGCCGGCCGCCGATCCGCGAGCGTCGGAATAAAAATGACCCTTCGTCCGGGATTCGTGGTACGGTCTCCCCCAGACGCAACGATGCACGCGGCGCGACCGGACGTCCCGGCCTGTACGGGAGCCAACGGTGCGACGCCCCCAAGAGAATCCGAATGCCCGGCCCGGTCTTCCAGCTCGCGTACGCGAGCACCCGCCAACCCGATCTCACCGACGGTGAGATCGTCGACGGCATCGTTCTCCGCGCGATGCAGCGCAACCGCACCCTCGACATCACCGGCTGCCTCTGGTTCTCGGAAGAGCACTTCGTGCAAGTCCTCGAAGGCGACGAACGACGTGTCCGGGACCTCTACGCGGAGATCGAGGCCGACCCGAGGCACACCAACGTGACGCTCCTCGCGACAACGCAGATCGAGAAGCGGGACTTCAACCGCTTCTCGATGCGCTCTCTCGAGAACGCGCCGATCCAGGAAATGACGGAACTGATCGACCGGATCACCCCGAATCTCGACGTCTCCCTCCCCTTGGAGCTCAGCGAGGACGACCCGGGCGAGACGCACGGATTCGTCACCCGCGCGATCAAGGCGATGGCGGGGTGGATCCAGCCGAGCGACCCCACCCCCGCGACCTGATTCTCAGACCGCCATCTTTTCCTGCGACTTCGACGCCGTCGCGCTCGGCTTGCCCTCGACCGTCAGCCCGAGCATCGCCATCGGCCCGTGCGGCTTGCCGCGCTCTTCTTCGAGACGCTCCTCCGCCTTCGGGCTCGCGTAAGCCGAGAAGAGCATCGCCTTGACCGTCCCGAAGAGCCCGCCGAAGGAGCTGAACGTGTGGTCCACCGCCGTCGGCTCGTAGCCGCAGTGCACCATGCACTGCTGGCACGAGGGGTTGCCGCTCGCGCGGCCGAAGTTGTCCCATTCGGTCTCGGCCATCAGCTCCTCGAACGTGTCGACGTACCCGTCCTGCAGCAGGTAGCACGGCTTCTGCCACCCGAAGATGTTGAACGTCGGGTTGCCCCAGGGCGTGCACTCGTACTCACGCTTGCCCATGAGGAACTCGAGGAACAGCGGCGACTGGTTGAAGATCCACCGCTTCTTGCGGTTCGACAGCACCATCTCGAAGAACTCGTTGGTCTTCTCGCGGGCGCGCATGAACGATTTCTGGTTCGGCGCCTTCGGGTACGCGTACCCGGGAGAGACCATCATCCCCTCGACCCCGAGATCCATCATCTCGTCGAAGAACCCGCGCACCGAGTTCGGGTCCGCGCCGTCGAACAGCGTCGTGTTCGTCGTCACCCGGAAGCCCATCTCCACCGCAAGGCGGATGCCCTCCGTCGCCTTCGTGTACGTCCCCTCGCGGCACACCGCGAAGTCGTGGTGCTCCTCCTGCCCGTCCATGTGCACGGAGAAGGTGAGGTATTTCGAAGGCTTGAACCACCCCGCCTCGAGCTTCTCCTTGAGGATCAGCGCGTTCGTGCAGAGGTAGATGTACTTCTTCCGCTTGATCAGCTCGGAAACCAGCTCGCGGATGTGCGGGTAGAGCAGCGGCTCGCCGCCCGGGATGGAGACCATCGGCGCGCCGCACTCGTCGACGGCGCGGAGCGCGTCCTCCAGCGGCAGGTCCCGCTTGAGGATGTGCGCCGGGTACTGGATCTTCCCGCACCCCGCGCACGCGAGATTGCAGCGGAACAGGGGCTCGAGCATGAGCACGAGCGGGTACCGCTTGTTCCGCTTGACCTTCTGGCCGATCACGTACGTCGCGACCGTCCACATCTGAGAAATCGGAACGCCCATCGGGCCTCCTTGCTGTCGATCTTGTGAGTCGCCGTCCCCGGGGGCCGCGCCCTCGTCCGGCGCGGTCGGCCATCCTAGCCGCTCCCGCGATCGCGCGTCACGGCCGAAAATCGCACGCGCGACACCCAAATTCTTCACAATGCCGCCGTTTTCACAACCCGGGGCCGACCCGGGGCGTACAAACTCACTGCTGGAGTCCGAATCACCCGAGCGCCACACGCCCATGGCCACCGAATACCACCGCTCCGACGAAGATCTCATCGATGACTACATCGAAGGGGATCACGGCGCGCTGAGGCTGATCATCGAGCGCTACCACGACCCGCTCATCGCCTTCCTCGTCCGCCTCATGGGCAACCGCACTGAGGCCGAGGACGTCTTCCAGGACACCTTCCTCCAAATCCACCAGTCCCTCGACACCTTCGACCAGAGCCGCCGGTTCAAGCCCTGGCTCTTCACCATCGCGGCCAACAAGGGCCGGGACGCCCTGAGAAAGCGAAAACGCCGACGCGCCGTCTCCCTCAGCGCCCCGATCGACCACGACGGCGGCGAGCTCGTCGACCTCATGGAGATCTCCCTGCCCGAGATCGGCGCCGAGATCGAGCGCGAGGAGCAGTCCGCGATGGTCCAGACCGCCCTTAACGAGCTCCCGGACCGCCTCCGCGAGATCCTGCTGCTCGCCTATTTTCAGAAAATGTCCTACGCCCAGGTCGCCGAGATCTTCGGGATCCCCATCGGGACCGTGAAATCCCGCCTCCACGCCGCCGTCGCGAAGTTCGCCGCCGCGTGGCAGGCCCAGATCGATGCCCGGGAGCGGGCGTCCGAGAACCGCTCGGCGAACGGATCGTCGTAAAAAATCCTCGAACCTCCGCGGAGAGAGAGCCGTAGTACCCCCCGTATGACGGACCAGACCCCCCCCAGCACGCCGAACCCCGAAGGGCGGAACCCCAACGCTCCCGGGGATTTCCGCGACGCGTTGGATCGGTTCATCGACGCCGGCTTCGCCCCCGCGGACGCCTCCCCCCAGCAGAACACCCTGGCGAGGCTCTTCTCCGGCCTCGAGCTCGACCCCGCGTCCGACGCGGAGCGGGACCTGCTCATCAACGTCACCGTCGCCCGCGTCGCCCGACACCGCGACGGCGGCCCGAAGGTCGCGAGCCTCGCGCACCAGACCGACCCCGAACCCCTCACCGCGCCCTCCGCCGGCGCCCTCGACGCCGTCGAGGCCCGCGGGTGGGACGCCGACGCGAGCGACCCCGCCCAGCGGACCGTCGCGACCCTCCTGGGCGGCCTCGACGCCGACCCCGGCGTCTCGGCCGAGGAGCGCGAATCACTCATCTCGCGCACCCTCGGCGCGATCCAGACCGACATCGACCGCAACCAGGACCGCTTCCGCATGGACCCCGTGCGGGAGCTCTCGGGCGCCCGCCCCCGAATCACCCTCCGGGACATCGCCTCCGTCGCCGCGATGGTGCTCATCGCCGGCGCGATCTTCTGGCCGATGGTCGTCGGCCTCCGCGAGGCGAGCAACGAGCGCCTCTGCGCCCACGACCTGAGCCAGGCCGGTATCGGTTTCGCCCTCTACGCCAACGACCACGACGACAAGCTCCCCGCCCGGGACTTCCCCCGCGCCGCGCCCGCGTCCCAGCGGGCGGCCTGGTGGAGCGTCGGCGAGTCGAACGCCTCGCACTCGTCCAACCTCTTCGAGCTGGTCCGCGACGGCTACGCCTCGCTCTCCCAGCTCTCCTGCCCCGGCAACGAGCACGCGCCCGTTGAGTTCGTCTCCGAGCACCAGCACGACTGGACCGCGCCGGAGGAGGTCTCGTACTCCTACCAGCTCTTCTCCGGCGACACCCCACCCCGCCTCAACGCCGGCCGCAACACGGTCCTCCTGACCGACAAATCCCCGATCATCCCCCGCGCCCGCGCCGGCGAGCCCTTCAACCCCATGGCCCGGTCCCTCAATCACGCCGGGCGGGGCCAGAACGTCCTCATGAACAACCTGAGCGTGGTCTTCACCCAGGACCCCTTCAAGCCGGGAAGCCGCGACAACATCTGGCTCCCCCGCCAGCTCGAGGTGGGCCACGCCGTCCCCCTGACAGGGCGCGAGACCCCCGCGGACACCGTGGACGCCTTCGTGGGGCCGTAAACCCGGATCCGAGGGCCTCCGGGCCTTGCATGGGCCGGTCATTCCAGCTACATTCTTCCGTTCCCCGCGTTGCATGGCGGGGGACTGTCAATGCACCCCAAGCGTCCGAAACGGAAGCCCGAGATGCCCAAAGCCAAAGTCCACAAAGGCCTGCTCAAGCGGGTCCGCATCACCAAGACCGGCAAGGTCCACCACCGCAAGGCCGGCTCCAAGCACCTGCGCTCCCACAAGAGCCCGATGCGCCTCCGCCGCCTCCGCAAGGACCGCTACATGACCAAGGCCGAGGCGCGCCGCGTCGGCAAGCTGCTCTTCCGCGCCCTCCGCGGTCGCAACCAGCCGCTCTCGTCGATCAAGCGCAGCCCGTCGCCCGAAGAGCGCCGCGCCAAGCGCGAGGCCGCGAAGCAGGCCGCCTCCGAATAAACGTTCCCGTTCTCGCACCGCTGTCCGGGACCTAAGACGACGAACGAACGTCGCCCCGTCCGGCACAACCCAGGAGCAACCCCATGCCCCGCGTCCGAATCGGCGCCGCCCGCAAGCGCAAGCACAAGAGAGTCCTCCGCGAAGCCCGCGGCTACTANNCACTTCCAGCAGGCCAAGGTCGCGCTCATGCGCGCCGGCCAGTTCGCCTGGCGCGACCGCCGCCAGCGCAAGCGTGACTTCCGCCGCCTCTGGATCACCCGCATCACCGCCGCCTGCAAAATGCGCGGCACGCGGTACTCCCTGTTCATGAACGGCCTCCGCCGCTCGGGCATGCTGCTCAACCGCAAGATGCTCGCCGAGATCGCGATCCACGACCCCGCGACCTTCGACAAGATCGTCGAGACGGCCGTGAAAGCGACCAGCGCGACGCCGGCCAAGTAAGCCGTAGCAACCGCGACCGTGAGGGAGCGGACTGCGGATCCAACCGACCCACCAAGCCCCGCCACAGTGCGGGGCTTTTTTCTGCACCCTCTCCCCTCGCGGGAGAGGTTGGCTGGCGCACGTTCCGCCGCCAGCCGGGTGAGGGGGCGTCCGTGTGCGAGCGATGAATGAGTTGAGCGAGCGATGAATTGACATCGGTCATCCAGCCCGACTCCCTCACAGTCGCGGTTGCTACCCGCGCATCACCACCCCAGCCATCCCCCCCGGCTCCAGCGGCTTCACCAGCGTCTCCCCCGTCGCGTTCCCCGTCAGCACCGCCTCGCTCGCAAGCCACCCCGAGCGCACCGCGCCCTCCATCGTCGCCGGCCAGCCCGAGCGGACGTAGTCCCCCGCCAGGATCAGCCCGCTCGTCCCCGTCGTCGTCGGGCGCGCCGCCTCGCCCTCGGGCGTCGCCGCGTACGTCGCCCGCTTCTCCTTGATCGGGCGCGCGCTCACGAGCTTCGCACCCTCCGCGAGCGGCAGGCACGCGTCCAGGTCGCGGCACACCCGGTCCGCGATCTCGGCCTCGCTCAGTTCCAGCCACTCGTCGGCCGCGGAGATCACCGCGTGCACGCGCCTGCCCTCCGCGTCCTTCCGGAAGACCCAGTGCGTATCCATGCCGACAAGCACGCCGTGCGGCGTCTCAAGGACCGGCCGGTCGAACTCGATGTGCACGCCCAGGATGGGGCTGTGCGAGAGCTCGCGCATCGAGGCGAATCGGGCGTCGGTCTGCTGGATGGCGGTCTCGACCGTCGTGAGCGCCCGCTCGAAGGGCACGGCGCAGACGACGTGGCCCGCGTCGAGTCGCTTGCCGTCGCGGGTGATGACGTGGTCCGTGCTGATCGTCGCGACGCTCACGCCGAGCTCGATCGAGCCATCCGGAGGGCCCGAGGCACGGATGGCTTCTTCAGCCGGGTCGTACAGCTCCACGAGCGGCACGGTCGAGAGCCCGATCGCGGGGGCCTTGCGGTTCGCCAGGAAGCCCTCCTGGAAGACGTGCAGCGCGACCTCGGCGCTCACGCGCGAGCACGGCAGGTTGCACGCGCTGACGATCACGGGCTCCCAGAATTTCGCGACGCTGCCCTCGGGCTGGCCGTGGCGGGCGAGCCAGGCGCCGAACGTTTCGTCCGCGTGCTTCGTCCGGTTCGAGAAGACGATCGCGCTCATCGCCTTCGCGATGGCGATCTTCTCGCCCGTCGTGAGGAACTTCGCGCGGGCGAAGCTGCTCGTCATGTGCGCCGGCTCGGGCAGGAACCCCGGTCGCAGCTCGCTCACGCGCCCGCCGGGCTCGTACCACCACGTCGAATCGTGCCACTCGAACCTCCCGAGCACGCCCAGTCGCTCGCACAGCGCGAGGTAGTTCGTGCAGCAGCCCATCGCGACGTGCTGGCAGTTGTCGATCACGAGCCCCGTGCGCACGTCCTCGAAACTCGTCGCCCGCCCGCCCAGCTTCTTGCGCGTCTCGAGCACGCGGACGCGCGCCCCGGAATCCGCGAGCCGCAGGGCGCAGGCGATCCCGGCGAGCCCGCCGCCCACGACGATCACGTCGGGCGAAGCGCTCATATCAGTCGTCCAGACGACGCGCGGCACGCACGCTCTTGAGGGCGATCGCCACCTTGGCCACCTTGCTGAGCCGCACCCGCTTCCCGCTCGCGACGACCGACGGGTCCTTCGCGATCTTCGTGAGCAGCCCGCGGTAGATCCCGCTCATCGCCTCGAGCGTCGGCGCGTGGTCCTCGTGGATCATCCCCGCGAGCGGCGCCGATTCGGCGTAGTACCCCTCCGCCCACCCGATCAGCTCGCGCAGCATCGCCCCGCACGCCTCGGGCTTGGCCCACGACCGCAGCTCTTCCGGCGTGAGCCCGTGACGGTCGAACGCGTCCGACGGCAGGTAGACGCGCCCGCCGTCGAAGTCCTCCGCGAAGTCGCGCAGGATGTTCGTGAGCTGGAAGGCCCGACCCCGCGCTACCGCGAGGCGTTCCGCGTCGGCGTCGCTCGCCTCGGCCCGCAGCCCCCAGATCCGCACGCAGCACAGACCGACGGTCGAGGCCACGCGGTCGCAATACTCGAGCAGGTCGTCGCGCGTCGAGCAGATCAGCACCGGCTCGCCGCCGTTCGCCTCGGCGCGCTCCTCGGCGTCCAGGTCCGCGTGCATCCCGCGGATGACGTCGCGGAGGACCCCCGGGTCGAGCCGCGCGTGGCGGGCGACGTGCCCGAAGGCGGCCCACAACTCGGGTTCGCCCTCCACCGGACCGCGCAGGGTCCGCTCGGTGCGCTCCCAGAACGCGTCGACCGCGGTGCGGCGCTCCGCGACGGGGCGGTCCGAGTCCGTCAGGTCGTCCGCCTCGCGCATCCAGGCGTACAGCGCGAAGACCGCGCTCCGCTCCGGCTCGGGCGAGATCCGCAGGCCGTAGTAGAAGTTCCGTGCCCGCGTCCGGACGACGCCCCGGCACCACTCCATCGCGTCTTCCAGCGCGGATTCGTCGCGCACCGGCGTCGCCGATCGGCGGGAAGAGGGGACCACGATGGAGGCGTTCCGAGTCACGACCCGCCACGGTACCAGCGCAGCGACGCCCGTGCGACGAGCGCGACCTTCGCCAGTTTTCCCAGTTTCGGACGCCCCCAGAGCGTCGCGCACCCCGCCCGCTCCACCGCGCCGAGCACCCGCTCGCCCCCCGCGCCGAAGAGCCACACCACCGGGCTCAGCTCGTTCGCCATCGCCCCCGGGAGCGGCCGGCCGACGGCGAACAGCTCCCGCGTTCTCTCCACGAGCGGCCGCACCGCGCGGATGTACGGCACGCGGGCCTCGGGGTCGTCGCCCCGGTCCTTCCAGTCCAGCAGCGTCTCGCGCGTCACGCCCGATTCGACGCTCGGCAGGTACACGCGGTCACGCTCGAGCAGGTCGCGCCGCACGTCCTGCCAGAAGTTGGTCAGCTGCAGCGCGCTGCACGTCGCGTCGGACATGCGGTACAGATCCGCCGGCCCCGTCTCGCCGTCGCCGTGGCCGGACAGCGCGAGCACGATCCGCCCGACCGGATCGGCCGAGCGCGAGCAGTAGCCCATGAGCTGGTCCCACGTCTCGTACGCGGTGACGCGTTGGTCCTGCTCGAACGCGTCGATGAGGTGGTGGAACGGCGCCCCGCTGAGCGCGTGGCGCTCGATCGTCTCCCGCAGCGCGACGAAGACGGGGTGGCGGACGTTCTCGGCGTCGCCCTCACCCCGCGCGCTGGTGACGCACGACGCCAGCCCCTCGCGCCACCACGCGAGCAGCTCGAGGGACCTCGCCCGCGCCGCCTCGCCCGCGCCGGTCTCGTCGCCCAGGTCGTCCGACCACCGACAGAAGGCGTAGACCGACGCGAAGTCGTCCCGCAGGCGCTTGGGCACCAGCCGGGAGAGCACGGAGAAGTTCTCGTAGTGCGAGGTCGTGAGCGTGCGGACGTGGGCCCACGCCTCGTCTCGAGACACGGGTTTGTCGAGGGCCCCCGGGCCCCATTCCGCCAGCTTGTCGATCAGCGCCGTCCGCTCCGTCACGTCCCCGTGCTCCTCGGTCTCCCCCGGGCCGTCCACCCTATACTGTCCCGTCCGGCGACGCCCGCCGGACGCGTCATTTCCCGAACCCCTGACTCCCCCGGAACGCCCCCGAATGAAGATCGTCCTCGCCAACCCGCGCGGCTTCTGTGCCGGCGTCCACATGGCCATCGACGTCGTCGATCAGCTCCTCAACATCTGCGACGGCGAGCCGATCTACGTCTACCACGAGATCGTCCACAACAAGCACGTCGTCAGCCGCTTCCGCGACCGAGGCGTCACCTTCGTCGAGGACGTCAGCGAGGTCCCGGACGGCGCGATCGTCGTCTTCTCCGCCCACGGCGTCTCCCCCGCGGTCCGCGCCATCGCCAAAGAGCGGAACCTCACCGCCGTGGACGCGACGTGCCCCCTCGTGACCAAGGTCCACATGGAGGCGATCCGCTACGCCAAGCAGGGCCTCCAGATCCTGCTCGTCGGCCACGCGGACCACCAGGAAGTCATCGGCACCCGGGGCGAAGCGCCGGAGGCGATTCAGGTCGTCGAGTCCCCCGAGGACATCCCGGGCCTCACCATCCACGACCCCGAGAAGATCGTCTACCTCACGCAGACCACCCTCTCGACGGACGACGCCGGCGTCATCATCAAGGCGCTCAAGGAGGCGTTCCCCGCCATCAAGGGCCCCCCGGGCGAGGACATCTGCTACGCCACAACCAACCGACAGCAGGCCGTCCGCCAGATCGCGCCGGGCTGCGACCTGACGCTCGTCGTCGGCTCGCGGAACAGCTCCAACTCGGTCCGCCTGACGGAGATCTCCAAGAACGTCGGCACCGAGTCGTGGCTCATCGACGACGTGTCCGAGCTGGACGACGCCTGGTTCGGCCCGGACGACCGCGTGCTCATCACCGCCGGCGCCTCCGCCCCCGAGGACCTCGTCGCCGCCCTCTGCCGCACGATGGTCGAGCGCTACGGCGCGACGATCGAGGTGCAGGACGTCTTCGAGGAAGACACCGAGTTCGGCATCCCCGCGACGCTCAAGGTCCTCATGCGCGAGCACGACGTCGACCCCGAGTCCCGCCGCATCCACATCACCAAGCCCAACATCACCGCCGACCTCTACGGCGCCACCCCCCTCACCGTCGGCGCGACAAACTGACAACACCCATCCCAGAGGGAGGGGCCGGGGGTGGGTTCCTGAGTTCTCGATCCGCGCCCGATCGCAGCATCATTTGGCAATTTGGCCATTTGCTATTTGGCCATTACCCCATGAAACACCCCGAAGCCCACATCTTCCACCACACCCCCGAGACGCTCCGCGCGTGGTGCATCGACCGCGGCCTGCCCAAGTTCCGCGCCGACCAGATCCTCACCTGGGTCTACCGCGACAACGTCATCGACCCGGCAGAGATGACGAACCTCTCCAAGTCCGACCGCGAGCTGCTCGCGCGTGAGATGGTCTTCACCTCCGGGCGCACGATCACGCACCAGCGCGCCAGCGACGGCACGCAGAAGCTCCTCGTGCAGTGGGACGACGGCGTCGAGAAGAACGGGGGGGCGCTCGAGGTCCTCCAGGACGACCCCTCGCGCCAGACCGAGTGCGTGATGATCCCCACCGACGCGCGCAAAACCGCGTGCATCTCCTCGCAGGTCGGCTGCCCGGTCGGGTGCAAGTTCTGCGCCTCCGGCCTGGGCGGCCTCGACGGGAACCTGAGCGCCGGGCGCATCGTCGAGCAGGTGTGGCGACTCGCCCAACTGCCGGACGTCGGCCGCATCTCCAACATCGTCTTCATGGGCATGGGCGAGCCGCTCGCGAACTTCAAGAACGTCATGCACGCCGTGCGGACGATCAGCGCGCCGTGGGGCCTGGGCATCGGCGCGCGGAAGATCACGATCTCGACCGTCGGCCTGCCGCAGGCGATCACACGCCTCGCCGAAGAACTCGAGCTGCCCGTGACGCTCGCCCTCTCGCTCCACGCGCCGACGGACGAGCTCCGCCGCTCGCTCATCCCGTGGGCGGAGTACTCGACGATCGAGCAGCTGCTCGACGCGTGCGACATGTGGTTCCAGAAGACCGGGCGCGAGATCACGCTCGAGTACATCCTGCTCGGCGGCACGAACGACCGCCCCGAGCACGCGACGGAGCTCGCGCGCCTCGCCAAGCGCCTCCGGGCCAACGTCAACCTCATCCGCTACAACGAGGTCGACGGCATGCCCTTTGCGCGACCCGTCAACGCGGACGTCCGCGGCTTCCAGGCGGTGCTGAAAGACGCGGGCGTCAACGCGCACATCCGGGCGTCACGCGGGCGGGATATCGATGCCGCGTGCGGGCAGCTCCGGCACGAAACGGCGAAGGCCTGAGGCTCAGTACTCGATGTTCGCGTCCGGGTTCGTGTTCGTGAGCACGCCCGCGGCGGTCAGGATCGGGCCCCGCACGTTGCCCGGGCCGATGTTGTAGCCGCCGACCGCCCCGCCCGTGGCGCGGTTGCCGACGATCAGGTTGCCGGTTCCGATGATATTGAAGCCGACGCCGCCGTTCGAGGACGACGTGCATTTCGCGATGTGGCACCGGTCGGCCTTCTGGCCGAACTCGAAGCCGTTCCCGCCGTTGCCGCTCGCGACACAGCGATCGAAGGTGCCGCCGTCGACGTCTCGCAAGTCGAAGCCGTTGGTGCCGTTGCGGCTGCACACGCACTCGCAGATCACGAATCGCGTCGGTCCGACGAGGGATCTGTTCTGCACGCCGACGCCGTTGTTGTCGTTGAAGACGCAGCGCGACATCGTCACGGTCGTGCAGTCCTCGAAGATCGCGCCCATGCCGTTGAACTCGCAGACGGTGTCGGACATGACGCAGGAGCCGCGGCGCGTCTTGCACGCGGCCTCGTCGTTGCGCCGGAGGACGCAGGACGTCATGTTCAGCGTGCCGTCGGTGACCTCGACGCCGCAGAGCGTGCTCTCGGTGATCTCGCAGCGGTCGAGGATGACGCACCCCTGCAGATTGCTGATGCCCGAGCCGCCGTTGTCGGAGTACTGGCTCCGGGTGCAGGAGTAGCGCCCGTGGTCGACGAGCGTCCCGCCGAGCCCGTTCCGGAAGAAGACGCTGTCCACATCGCGCGCGATGAGTTCGGTCGCGTCGGGGCCGTTGACCGTCGAGCCGTACAGGCCGTTCTCCGCGAACGAGCAGCCGGCGCTGTGGAGGGGATTGTCGCTGTTCGCGCCGCTCCCGCCGTTGCTCTTGAAATCGCTCAGCTTGAGGATGGTGACGTGGCCCCGGTGGCGCCCGCCGGCCTGGGCGCCGCGGGCGCGGAAGCCGTCGCCCCCGTTGCCGATGCAGGCGGAGCTCTCGACCGCGATCGCCGTCTGGTTGGACACGGGGAGATCGACGTCCATCCCGTTGCCGGTGTTGGAAACGGCGAAGCAGTGCCCGAAGTGGCACACGCCCTGGTCGCCGCCGTTGTGGCCGGGGATCTGGCTGTTGACGACGACGCCGAACCCGACGCCGCCGTTCTCGTTCGCGTGCGAATTGACGAAATCGACGCCGAAGTCGCCGCGCGGGCAGTCCACGCTGAACCCGCTCCCGCCGTTGCCGGAGGACGAGCAGCCCGAGAACAGGTGCTGGCGCCGGCCGGTCGCCAGCCCGCTCCCGCGCTCGCGGACGCGGACGCCGTCGCCCATGTTGCCGCTCGCCGAGGTGTTCCGGTGCGCGACACGCGTCGCGTCAACGTGCATCGCGCCGCTCCCGCCGTTGTTGTTGAATACCAGGTGCGTGCAGACGCACGCGGCGACGCCCTCGGTGTAGATCCCGTCGGCGCCCCAGCCGGCGATCATCCCCGGGTTCCCGCCCGTGCTCGTCAGGATGAGCGTGCTCTGCACCGTGAGGTCCGTCGGCACGAAGCTGATCGCGTTCACGCTCGTCTGCGGGGGCCAGGGCGGGAGGACGCAGCACCCTTCCAGATCGATGTTCACCGTGCCGGCCGTCTCGATGCGGATGCCGGTCTGGCCCTCCAGCGCCTGGATGTCCGCGCGGAGGAAGTAGTTGCCGGGCTCGGTGATGATCACCGCGGCCGCCTCGTCGCCCGGGAGATCGTTCACGCAGCGGCGCGGCTCGAGCGCGCTGAGCGGCTGCATCGTGGGACGTACCGGCCCCGGGGGTGGGTTCAGATCGCCGCCGATCGCGATGCCGGGGATCAGCAACAGGGCGACAGCGACAAGGCCTGTGGTCGTACGCATCGGGTTGTCTCCTCACGTCTGGCCCGTCCCCCGGGCGCGGGCGAGGTCAGTACACCATATTCGCATCGGGATTCGTATTGGTCAGCACGGTGGTCGCGTCGATCGTCGGCGGGCGGAGGTTGCCGGCGACGATGTTGTACGAGCCGGCCGCGTTCGAGGTCGCACGGCACCGGACGACCATGTTGCCGCCACCCTGGACGGTGAACTCGCCGCCGAGGTTCTGCGCGGCGTGGCAGCGTTCAACGCGGCAGCGGTTCGCCTTGTTGCGGAGCAGGAAGCCCGATTCCCCGTTGCCGATGGCCTCGCAGCGGGAGAGCGAGCCGCCGTTGATGTCGTCAAGATCGAAGCCGTGCGAGCCGTTGCGATTCGCGATGCACTCGGGCGCCATCCAGCGCACCGGCCCGACGAGCGAGCGGTTCTGCACGCCGGCGCCGATGTTGTCGTTGAAGACGCAGCGCGTCATGGTGACGGACGTGCAGTCTTCGAAGACCGCGCCCATGCCGTTGTACTCGCACACCGTGTCGGACATCACGCACGAGCCGCGGATCTTCTTGCAGCCCGCCTCGTCGTTGCGGCGGAGCGTGCAGGAAGTCATGTTGATCGTGCTGTCGACGGCCTCGACGCCGCAGAGCGTGCTCCGCGTGATGTCGCACCGGTCGAGCACGACGCACCCGTCGGTGCAGGAGATGCCCGAGCCGGTGTTGTCGGTGAAGAGGCAGGCGACGCCCTGGAAGCGTCCGGGACCGCAGCGCACGCCGCCCGCGCCGTTGTCAGCGAAGGTGCCGTTGACGCACCGCGCCGCGAGCTCCGTCGGCGTGGGCGCGTTGACCACCATGCCGTGGATGGCGTTGTCCACCCACGTGCAGCCCTCGGCGTAGAGCGGGTTGTCGCTGATGGTGCCGTTGCCGCCGTTGTTCGCGAACTCGCAGAGCTTAAGCACGGTGACGTGCCCGTGGTGACGGCCCTGGACGATGCCGCCGACGATCTCGAGACCGTCTCCAAGGTTGCCGACGCAGCTCGTCTCGGTCATCGAGATCGCGGCCCGGTTCGACGAGGGCAGCTCGATGCGCACGCCTTGGCCGTCGTTGCGGGCGCACTCGAACCGGTTCACGCGGATCCGCATCCCCTCGCCGCCGCTGGAGATCCCGCGAACGGACGCGTCCGCGACCTCGATATTGAGCGCGCCGCCGCGGTTGCTGCTCGAGGCGCCGCCGTCGATGAGGAGCTCGAAGTCCTCGGTCGCGTTCGTGATACTGACCCCGTCCCCGCCGTTCCCGCTGGAGATGCAGCTGATGGCGCGGTGCTGCCGTTTGCCCGTCGGGAGCCCCGTGGCGGCATCTCTCGAGCTGACGCCATGGCCACCGTTGTTCCGGGTGGCGATGTCGCGGTGGATCACGTTCTCGGCGTGCAGGTGCGTGATGCCGTTGCCGCCGTTGTTCTCCACCAGGAGGTGAGAGCAATGGCATGTGGTCACGTTCTGCGTGCGGATCCCGTCACCACCCCAGCTGGAGATGCGGCCGAGGTCACCGACGCGTCCGAAGGTCACGGTCAGCGAAACCGGTGCGCCGCCCGGGGGGCGCTCGAAGTTGATCCCGTCGAGCGAGCCCGCAACGCCCCAGATGCGGCAGCCGCTCATGTCGATCGCCACGTCGCCCTGCGCCACGATGCGGATGCCGTGCTTTCCGGGCTCGCCCTCCAGGTCCGCGCGGAGGAAATAGTTGCCGGGCTCCGTGACGAGCACGGTCGCGCCCTCGTCGCCCGGGAGATCGTTCAGGCAGATCCGCGGCTCGAGAGCGTCGAGGCTGACCATGGTGGGGCGGACGGGCCCCGGGGGCGGGTTCAGATCCCCGGCGAGAGCCGGAGCAATCGTCACCGAGAGCACAAAAACGGCGATAGCGGCACTGAAACGCATCTTTTTCTCCTCACGAGTGTGGCACGAGTCCCGTTCACTGTACCCCCACTAGGCGGAATCGCCAGATATCTTGCAGGAAAACGGGGGACGGACAGATTTTTCGACATTTCCGCTTGGACCGGCGGCGGGTGAATTGGACTGTCTTGGGTGAAGCGAGCACAGCAGCCTTCACGCGGGAACCACACGGCAAACCATCAGGATTTGCCCCGCGGAGGACAGGTGAGAGTCCGGCCGACGCCGAGAGGCGAGGGTCGGATTTCGAGCCGCCTCGGAGCTGTCGGAGCGCGCCCGACGTTCTGCCCGTCGAGCACCCCCCGGCCGGTCCCGAAGCGGAAAAAACACGAGCCGGGCACCACCACTCGCGTCGGTTTCCACTTCCCCTGCAAACCGCCGCGCCCCGCCCGGACACACGGGGCAACCAGCCCGGCTCGTTCTGTACCCGGCCGTCAGACCGCTCGACGCTCCCAGCCTCGCGTCGGGCGGTCGATGGCCTTTAAATCGGGCAGTCGGCAGGTCGGCAATCGGCAGTCGAAAGCCGCGACACCGATTGCCGAATTGCCGACTGCCGAACTGCCGTTCTTCTTTACGTCGTCCCCGCCGTCAACTCGACCGCGTTCTCCGCGCGCTCGGCCCGCTCCGCCTGCTGGTGGAGCTTCGCGACGCGGTGCCGCGACCAGTCGTCGACCAGCAGATCGGGCGAATCCGCGCCGTCGTGGACGCGGAGGATGTCGTAGGTGTTGTCACGCTGCGCGGGAATGTGCCCGGCGCCGCGGATGAGCCGGCAGAGCACCGGCTCGTTCAGGCAGTACGTCGTGCCCGCGCTGGAAACGACGTTCTCCTCCATCATCACCGAGCCCATGTCGTTCGCGCCGTAGCGCAGGCCCACCTGCCCGACGTGCGGGCCCATCGTCACCCAGCTGCTGCCGATGGAGTAGATGTTGTCCAGCATGAGCCGGCTCACCGCCTGCGTGCGCAGGTACTCGGTCGACCCGGCCATGCGCAGGCGCCGGCCGAACTCAGGGTGCAGGTCTTTCGTTCCCGTGCCGTCGACGTTCGCGACGGCGTCGCCCGGGTATTCCTGAGCAAGCTCCGCCGGGTCCTCGCCCCACTCGCGGAGCCGCCCGAGCGGCGTGTTCTCGCGCTGAAACGGCCAGGAGATGAACGCCTTGTAGTGACCCATCGGCGCGTCGGACTGAGCGCCCTCGCGCAGCGCCCGGTCCTGCCACTCGCGGACGAGCCGCATGTGGTGCACCCGGTCCGCGTGCCCCTCGATGTGGCCGAACATCATCGTCGCGCTCGTGAACATCCCCACCGTGTGCGCGACGTACATCGTCGTGAGCCACGCCTCGGCCGTGCACTTGCCGAGCCCGATCTTCCGGCGCACCGCGTCCGCGAAGATCTCCCCGCCGCCCCCCGGAAGGGAGTCGAGCCCCGCCTCCTTGAGCCGCACCATCACCCAGCGGAGCTTGTCTTCGAGCGTCGCGCCGGGCGGGTCGAAGAAGTTCA